CTGAGTAGCACAGTGCGACCAAGCCTTGCACAGAGGATCTCTGTTTCGCTGTAATTCCACACGTGACCCGCATCCAACACATGTGATTCGTGCCTCCTGCCATGAGGGCTTAAAGTCCTTTAAGAGGGACTATACCTATTTCTGTTTACAGGTAAATTCCCGTGGTCCGTGGATAGAGTTCAACAAATATTCATGGGCTGAAAAACTGAACAAACCTATCACGAGGTCAAGAGAAGGGCATAGGGCTGGAGTGATAGCACAGCTGGTAGGGCATTTGCCTTGCACGCGGCCGACCCGGGTTCGATTCCCAGCATCCCATATGGTCCCCTGAGCACCGCCAGGAGTAATTCCTGAGTGCAAAGCCAGGAGTAACCCCTGTGCATTGCCGGATGTGACCCAAAAAGCAAAAACAAAAAAAAGAGCAGGGCATAATCAGATAAAAATATGTCAGCAGACCGAGAATTTCTCTTTATGTTTATTTCCTGTGATTCTGGGAGCACACCACACAGTGCTCAGGGGTTAATATCGGCACATGTGATACTGGGGGTAGAACCGGGGTTGGCTGTGTGCAAGGCAAGTGCCTTAGCCCCTGGGCCATCTTGCCAGCCCCTCTTCATGTTTATTATTTGTGTAAAAAAAAATAGGATTCAACCAAGACTACGTAAATGCATTTAGTGGCCCCGGTATCCTCACGGGCATGTGAGGCACACAGCGGAGAGACGGCCTTCTAGGACACGGGCAATGGGTCAGGAGATCAGTGGGTACAGAGCAGAGAGACGGCCTTCTAGAACAAAATGAGTGATGCGACGGGAGCTCTCGGTGCAGCTTATGCTTTCAGCCGAACTGCAGTTTCTGGGTATTTACCAAGGTCCCAGCACACCTGGGTGTAGGGGGTTTATTTAGTTTTAGGTGAGCTTACAAAATAGGTAAGTGGCTAAAAAAAAGATGAATGCAAAGATCAAAGGCTTGAAGCGACTACGGCTAATATGAAATACTATTAACATCAGGAAAACCGGCAAAGTTGCTGCTTCTTCTGCTAAATATGAATTCATCCTCGGCCACCATTAAGTTCGAAACAATGGCTGTCAATAATTTGCTACAGGGCAGATACTGAGGGAAATAAACACGGGCAAGATCAGTCTTTCAAGGCAAAGAGACCTTTCAATTGTTTTTCAGCTGTTGTGGGGACCACACCCTGCAGTGCGGTGGTCATCGGGGCCACCCACAGTGGCTCTCAGGGGTCACTTGATGCGGGGACCACCCAGGGACCAGGTGTGCGCTCAACTGCTTGAGACATAGCCCTCGCCAAGGGTGACATTTTAACAATGAGGGGGGAAAGTTACTGTTTTTTTGAAATCAAAATTAATTATAAACTCAAGTCCTAAAGATAATGTTTTAAGCTGGACATTTGAAAAATGCTTCCACTGTTGAACAATTTGGACTCCTAGAATTAGGAAGTGTCTGACTTGCGAAACTCCTCAGAGCTATGTACATGGTCTTCCTAACAAATTTTCCAACTGATGCTTAAAGATGTCAGTTGAAAAATAACGAGGCAAGGTGTTGGAGTGATAGCATAGCGGGTAGGGTGTTTGCCTTGCATGCAGCCAACCTGGGTTCGATTCCCAGCATCCCATATGGTCCCCCGAGCACCAACGGGAGTGAGTCCTGAGTGCAGAGCCATTGCCGGGTGTGACCAAAAAAAAAGTAAAAGAAGAAGAAAAAAAAGAAAAATAACCAGGCTCATGAACCCAAGCTAGAATGAGCCAAAACGTTAGTTGATACGTTAACTAAAAAGATATGAAAACATATATATCGATAGATAAATATATATATATATATAGATAGATAGATATTTAACGTATCTTTCAGTTAGTCCACAAGAACTGGCTGACATCCTGAAGTATGGAGACTAGTGAGTTTTAAAACCAATCAGAACATCATCGGCAAATAGGATTGAAAAATGCGTACCATGATTTAGTGACCGTGCTTCGTCCCAAGCTCTGAGCTATCTTTTCCAGCTACAGTTACCCCTAAACCCCAAATCCAGTATCAGAAAATACAGAACTTACAAATTTTTTTTTGCTTATTTCTTTTCTTATGGGGCCACACTGGGCGGTGGTCAGGGCTGACTCCTGGCTCTGCACTCAGGGCCATCTCCTGGCAGGACTCCTGCACCATATGCAGTACCAGGGATCAGACCTTGGTCGGACACATGCAAAGCAAACCCCGGCCTCTGAACTTACAACTTCCGAATTACCATTTCATAAGAGGCTGAAGCAAAACTTGGAAAAACAATAAAAAAAAACACTTAATTACATTATTTTTGGCGAAAGTAAAATTATTCATAAAACAAAGTATTTTAAAACTTACTCCTAACTCTTCAACTTCTATGCTTGTCTATAACACACATGGTTAATTGGTAAAGCATGCTTATAATTAAAAAAAAAATAAAGCTATGTTACTGGGGCTGCCTGGTAACAGAGGCGAGAGGCAACTGCTTTAGCATCAAGACAGCGTTGCAAGATTTCAAGCCAGAAGGATCCAGAGCATCAGATTTGAAATCGAGGAATAAAATCCTAGAGCTGCGAGGCGGCGGGGGAATGTTCAGAGACTAAAGTGGATTTTCAAGATTCCTGGTGCCTGCATTGAGCCTAGAGCGTCCCTTCCTCGCCCCCAGGACATACGGTCAGCGGGGGCCAGAGGGAAAGGAGAGCTGGCCAGGGGGCGTGGACATCAGCTGGCCCCTCTATTCTGAGATTCCGAGTCATACGTTTGAAAAATGACCTGGACATTTTCTGGAATAACAGAGCCAGGGATCAAGTGATCAGTCTTGATCAGTCTTAGCTACTGCCTCTGAGCGGCGCACCCCGTGACAACCTCGTGTACACCCAGCGGTGACCCGGCATGCCCTGTGATGACTGTCCCCAGGCCCTTTCCTGTACATGTGCTTTCATGAACACATGTAGGCATGCATGTGAAAGAGCATGCACATGGACTTATTGTTGTTCTTCTTTTTTTTTTTTCCTGTTTTTGTTTTTCGGGCCATACCTGGCATTGCTCAGGACTGAGTCCTGGCTCTGTACTCAGGGAACACTCCTGGCAGTACTCAGTGGGCTCTGCAGGGTGCCAGGGATCACACTGAGGTTAGATGTGTAAATAGCAAGTGCCCTGCCTGCTGTAATGTTGCTCCTACCCCAGCACTCTTTTCTTTTACTCGATAAACTCGCTCTGTCCCTTGGGAGTCCACAGGCAACATGGTTTAGGACAGACCACATGGTTCTCCTTCCCCGTAGCTTCAGGACCTTCTTCTTCCTTCTTTTTTTTTTGGGCTGTGTGCAAGGCAAACGCCCTACCCGCTGTGCTATCACTCCAGCCCCTGCTTTGGTTCTTGAACCTTCCTTTGTTGGTGGCCACTGGTAGTGCCACGTTGATAATAAAAGAGAGCAGACCTCTCCGGTACCCACATCCTGTACTATTCTCCAGGGAGGATGACCTTCAGGTCGCAGAGCTTTGGAGGGTTAGGTTAATATTTAAAATGCTGTTGGCCCTGCAATATGGCTATCCCCATTCCTACTTCAAACGGCAAGGTTCAGCCACTCAAGTCTTCTTTGCTCATTAAACTTTTATTAGAGATTGCTAGATTCAGGAAAATATTTAAGGAAACAGGTTCCGTGGAATTTCTTCTATGTGAGAAAGTGAAGGTTCGGCAATGAGTTATGGGTCTGAGGTCTCGAGGCCTCTGACAGAGAATGCAGGAGTTACGTCAGGAGTAGCCACAGTCAGGCCAGAGCAATAGCACAGTGGGGAGGGCGCGTGCAGCCAACCCGGTTCGATTCCCCGCACCCCATAGGGGCCTCCGAGCACTGCCAGGATTGAGCCCTGGGTGCAGAGCCAGGAGTGAGCCCTGACCACTGCCAAGTGTGGCCAGACACACAAACAGACAGACAGAGTGGCCAGGGGCAGGCGTGAGATGACACCTGAGCTGAGCTCCTGCAGCGCCAGGAGCTGGTGACATGGCCTTTCCCAGCCCCTTCAGCCAGCAGAGAGGAAGAACTGTCACCGCCAGGGAATACGGCGGCCAGAGGGCAGGGGAAGGAGGTCTCAAACCTGGTGGGGAGAGGGCCACGGGGGGCAGGCGGGGAAGACTGACACGGGATGACCCGAGGGGAAGTGCCTCCGAGCTTCCGTGGCTGTTCGAAAAGTCTCTTGGTTCTAAGTATCTCCATGTGGCATCCAAAGTGAGTGCCAGCACTGAAACCAAATCCTGAAGAGAAATATCAGCAAAGAACTAACATCCCACAACGAAGAAACATCTTCAAAGAAGATGCTGTTATAAAAATACCGCAAAAGTACTTTCCAGCAAATTCCAGACCCAGAAGTAAAGCTTTAAAATGAAGCTCCAAGCACAAGAGTCCCGGATCCTTTGCTCTCTGCTGTGCGTGGAGGCCCGTTTAGAGGCAGGCCCTCTCCTCGGAAGGCTGCCCGTTGGGCCAGACCTGGGGGCGAGCCGCAAGGGGGCAAAATGACACCTTTGGATCTTGGGCAGGAGCCAGAACTCTGCTCTACAAGCGGCTAAAGCCAGTCCGTGGGGCTGCACAGCCCAGAGCCCCTGTCTCCGCAGCTCAAGTGCCCAGGCCCGGGTGGAAAGCCCGTCAGGGGCCAGAGCCGTCCCCAAGCACGCGTGGCGACGTGCCAACGCTCTCCACACACGCAGAAACCTCAATCCCGCATACCTCTGTCAAAGACCGTGCTTGTTTCAAAACGTTTCAACCGTTTCAAAACAGAAAGACCATTCTAGGCTCGTGGGCTTCACACCCTCGAGCGAGGGCTGGGCGTGCAGCCTCGGGTGCCAAACTCTGGAACCGGGCCCTCGATTCCTCACTGAAAACTCGGGTGTTGGTGCAAAGATACGCGCCGTGGAGGTCAGTTGTTGGGAAAGTTCGGTCAGGAGACCCAAGGCGGAAATACACCGCATTTAAAAAAGAGCTGCTGGCACTTACCTTAAATCTCTTCGTTTACTGAGTTCTTCCTGTGGGATGGTCCAGGGCAGGGTGCGCGGGAGACAGTCTAGGACTTGGGAGGAGAAATCTGAGAAGTCCACCCCGTACTCTGTGAGAATGCCTTCGGTCTCGGGCTCGATCTCGCCGGCCTGGCCCAGACTCTTCGCCAGCTGCCTGTGGACAGAGAGACCCAGTTAATGGTGAAGAGAACGCAGACACCATTTCCCTCTCCAAAGGGGGGGGGGGGCGGGGGAGTCTAGGAGAGCTCAGAACCCCTGACCCTGCACCACCGGGACACAGACAGACACCCAAAGGGCAGGTGGGAGAGAACGCGCTGGGCAGAGACCACGGCCACACAGTCACGCTGCTTTCTGCCTGGTAAGCGGCCCGAGAAGGGCCACTCCGGGGTTCCGTAGGAGTCCCTGGATTCTCCTCCACATTAAAAACGATTGACTCGTTCTCCTGGGAACATCAGAGACGATTCTGACCAGACCCGTCTGTGGTTCGGTGGTTTCAGTCACTAGATTCAGAGTCCCGAGATTCTATCTCATGTTTACATTTCTCGATTCTATTAATTTTTAATAGAATTAAAAATATTTTGAAATATTTTTCTCTACACACAAAAGTAACATATATGGAAGCTTTTAAAGATACACAGAAGCACAAAGAAAAAATTGAAACAAACTTGGACCAGAAAGAGAGCTCAACAGGGAGGGCGCTAGCCGTGTGCATGGCTGGCCGGCCGGGGCTCATTCTCCATGAACTGCATCCAGTCCCCTGAACTCCACCAGGAGCACAGAGCCTGGAGTGAGCCCTGAGCACAGAGCCAGTAGTGAGTGAGCCCTGAGCACAGAGCTGGGAGTGAGCCCTGAATACAGAGCCGGGAGTCAGCCCTGAGCACAGAGCCAGGAGTCAGCCCTGCGCACAAAGCCGGGAGTCAGCCCTGAGCACAGAGCCGGGAGTCAGCCCTAAGCACAGAGCTGGGAGTCAGCCTTGAGCACAGAGCCGGGAGGGAGCCCTGAGCACAACTGGGCGTGGTTCCGAAATAAAGCAAAGCAAAAAACTAAGATGAAGGAGAACGATCCAGGCACTGGAGAGAGCAGAGCACGTAAGGGGCTTCCCTGGCATGCGGAGAAGCCAGGCTGGATCCCTGGCACCTCATAGGGCCACCCAAGCCCCACCAGGAGTAAGCCTGGGGCACTGCCCAGTATAGCCCCCGAACCAAAAGTATATGTTAAAAAAAAACAACAACCCCCAAAGCTTGTGCGAAACAGCAAACCCCGAAAGGCGCCCCTTTGGGATGGCAAGTCTTGAACCTGTGTCATCCAGGGTATGAATCAAAACTTTCTCAGTGGTGGCAGGCCACATACAGACCGCCGTGAAGGCCTGCGGGAAAGGTGAGCGGAGCTGGGAACAGCGCTGGGGGTGAGTGTCGGGGCCCTGCCTGTCTGCCGGGATCCAGGAACCCACCCTGAGATCTCCTCACAGGTGCTCTTTTTTTTTTTAATTGAGTCACTGTGAGACACAGACTCACGAAACTGTTCATGGTGGGGTTTCAGTCATACAGTGTCCAACACCCGTCCCTCCACCAGTGTACACTTCCAGCACCAGTGTCCCCAGTTTCTCTGCTGCCACCCTCCTCCAGTTTCCCTCCCTCCCTCCCTCCCTCTCTCTCTCTGTAATGCGCAGGGCTGGAGCCTGGGATGCACATGAGCTTTGGACCCAGCATGGAACTGAGTTGCAGAGAACAACCTACGGTCTCCCCCTCCCCCCATTGGCTATGGAAATGCCCCCTGCCCCAAGAAATAACCATTTTGATTCCAATTAAGCAGAAAGAATGAAATAATAAAGGAACAAGAATCAACAGACCAGAAGAAAAAAATGAAGGAAATAAAAATTCAATAAAAATCAAAAGCCAATCCTTTGAAAATAAAATTGGTAGGCTGTTTTGAGCCAGACTGATCAAGAACAGGAGAGGAAGGGGCCGGGGGTCACGCCGGGCTGGAGCTTTGGCCCTGCATGTGGCCAGTGGGTGCCTGGCCCTGTGTGGCCCCTGACACAGCCCTGCGTGCAGTCACAAGCACCGCCAAGTGTGGTCCCAAACCCACACCCACCCCCCCCAAAAAAACAAGGAAAGAGAAAAAGACAAAGTACAAACATAAGGAATGAGAGGGGATACAATTAATCCATCATTTAAAAACTTCCCACAACGAAAATTCGAGGTCCAGACGGCTCTGCTTGAATTTCCAAGAATTTAAGGAAGAATTAAGACCAATTCCACAGAAACCCTGTCAGAGGGCTGAACCACTTCCTAATAGCATTACCCTGATACCAAAACCAAAGGCTTCATGGGATAAACATCACACATGAAGATGGATTTTTAAATTAGGATAAAATGTGGGGCCAGACAGATACGCAGGGGTCAGGCCTTGCATGTGGCTGACCTGGGTTTCGGTCCCTGGCACCACGTATGGTCCCCTGAGCACCGCCACGAGCGATCCCTGAGTGCAGAGCCAGGAGTCAGCCCCAGCACGGCCGGGTGTGCCCCCCTCCCCGCAAAAGACCCACAACAGAAAAAGTAAAATAATGATGTAGTAGAAAATACAGATTAGCAATGTAAAAAAAAAAAATTACCACGAACAAGTCATTCAAAGTTTGCCCAACATTAAAAATTAGTCAGTGTAATGATTCATATTAACATGAAAAAAGAAACCAATCTGAATAGGTTACAGTAAAAGCACCGGAAAAATTCCAACATGCAGGTACCTTCTCTAACGGGGAGGGTTACCTGCATCTCTTCTCTCCACTCTGCAGCAGCAGCCGACCTCCCTCCCCCCCTCCTTCCTCCCCCTCCCTCCCTCCCACCCCCCCACTCTCCTTCCCTCCCTTCCTCCACTTTCTCTCTCCCCCCAACTCTCCCTCCCTTCCCACTCTTTCCCTTCCCCTCCCTCCCTCTCCTTTTTTCTCATCCTCCCTCCCCCTTCCCTTCTCTTTCTTATACAACTTCTTTCTTTCTTTCTTTTTTTTTTTTTTTGCTTTTTGGGTCACACCCGGCAATGCACAGGGGTTACTCCCGGCTCTGCACTCAGGAGTTACTCCTGGCGGTGCTCAGGGGACCATATGGGATGCTGGGAATCGAACCCGGGTCAGCCGCGTGCAAGGCAAACGCCCTACCCGCTGTGCTATCTCTCCAGTCCCACAACCTCTTTCTTTTCTTTCTTCTTCTTTTTTTTTTTTTTTAATTTTTATTAGTGAGACATCATGAGGTATAGTTGTAGACTTACAAATTTTTGTGCTTGGGTTTCAGTTATACAATGATCAAACACCCATCCCTCCACCAGCGCCCATCCTCCACCACCACAGGTCCCAGCATCCCTCCCACCCACCATCCCCCCCATCCCACCCTGACTCTGTGGCAGGGCATTCCCTTTTGTTCTCTCTCTCTTATTGGGTGTACAACCTCTTTCTTACAAACTTCCCTCCCCTTCCCCTCTCTCCATCTTTATCTAAAGAAAATGATTTTACTTCACACATAAAAAATGCGACATTTATATATTAAAAAAAAAAACCTCTGGGGGCAGGTATATAGCTCAGTGGCAGAGCACAATATGTTTTTTGAATCCTTATTTATTTGTTTTTCTTAGATGATATTGTCAACAGCCATACATTTATTACACGTTCATTATTAACAATTCATAGAGATTTCCTGCCTCTGAAAAATATAAGCACAAAAACTGGGAAAACAATGCTACTTTTCTTTGGATCTATCATATACCAAAGCTCAAAGAACCTTAGCAAATATTCAACAAATCAATCAGGATAAAAATCAACTAAAATACTCTAGTTAACAGGAAAAAATTTTAAGTTTCACCTCAGAATGTTAATTTTAATTATTATTATTATTATTATTATTATTATTATTTTTGCTGAGAACTGCTACTTTTTCTTTTTAAAACAAATTTAAATAAAATATTTTGGTTTCACTCAGGGCACCCCGGATGGGGGCAGGTGAGACCCTTCCCCACCTCAAGGGACCTGGCCCCAGCAGCAGAAAACCACCAGATCTCAACCATCGCCATGCTCAAGGCTGCTGTCCACATGCTCGGGCTGAGTGAGCCTCACCCACAAGTGAACCTGGACCTCGAGAAGCTTCTTGGGACACACCCTACGCACTCTCCAAGAGGACCACACCACTTCTGATGGGGTTCAAAGTAGGAGGCAACCTATCTTAGATATATATATATATATATATATATATATATATTTAAGGTAAAAAAGGCCCTCCCGTTGATCGTCGATTTGCTCGAGCGGGCCCAGTAACGTCTCCATTGGAGACTTTGTTGTTACTGTGTTTGGCATATCAAATATATCACGGGTAGCTTGCCAGGCTCTCCGAGAGGGGCGGAGGAATCGAACTCGGGTCGGCCATCTTGGCCACTTGTAAGGCGAACGCCCTACCTGCTGTGCTATCGCTCCAGCCCATATATATATTTACTGATATATATATATATATATATATATATATATAAGCACACAAGGATCAACCTTCAACAACATGTTAGTGATCTCTTATTGAAAGGCTTAATGACCCCTGGGTGAAATACAGCAAATTTCACACTCTTTCCTCTAAGGAAACTTTTTTGTAGCATTTTCAGTGGTTGTTCATAACAAATAATACACAATATATTATTTCGGTTCTGCTTTGGGGCAGGGATTGGGGTTCCGGATGGAAACATCCAAAATATGGTAATAGGAAGGTGTCATGGTGATGGGATTGGTGTTTGAATATTATCACTGTAGTATCACTGTCCTCCCGTTGTTCATCGATTCGCTCGAGCGGGCCCAGTAACGTCTCCATTGTGACAATTGTTACTGTGTTTGGCATATCGAATACATCACGGGGAGCTTGCCAGGCTCTGCTGTGCGGGCGAGACACTCTCGGTAGCTTGCCAGGCTCTCCGAGAGGGGCGGAGGAATCGAACTCGGGTTGGCCATGTTGGCTGGATACAAGGCAAACGCCCTACCGCTGTTTGAATATTAAATATAATTAAATATTGCAAACTATTTTATAAAATAAAAAATTATTTAAAAAATTAATAAAATATTTTTAATGATAAAAATAAGGTGTTTTTTTTGTGACCTCCCCCTCCAAAACAAACAAACAAAAACCCTGA